CGACGTTTAAGTGCAAGAAAGTAGCCAAATGTGACAAGCAAACCCAATATTCATATATAGATTTCCGCGTGAAATTACTCGACCGCTTCGGCAACCCTGTACCAAGATACTTTAAAGGCCCAGATGGTAAGCAACAATGTAGTGATTTAGGTGGGTTTTGGAGTCCCGATCATAAATGGTTAGAAATAAACGTAGATGGGTATATTGGACCCGACGAGCGGTGGGCTCCTAACACCTTTATAGGGCCTAATGGCGAAACTGTGGACGGCGAAGCAGGTAAATTTCAGACGACCGATGGGAAATGGCTTGTTGTTGGAGTTGATGGTTACGTAGATTGCCAAGGGCAATGGCGTTGGTACACTGGCTCGAGAGGTAAAATGAGCCAAAAGAGGCCTCTTGTGTTAAGCGAAATGAAAAATTATATCAAATGTAAAAAAGACACCATGTTGAAAAAGTCACCATCATCTTGGAGTTGCTTCGTTGGTGTTAGTCCTTTACAGTTGTCGGCAAGAGGAATAACAGGACACGGAGCTGATAGAAAACTACTCAGGAAAAAATTAGAGGACTTAATAAAGCAAGGCATAAAAGTTCAAACGCCGCCGACGACTTACGTTTTATCTAACACGAAAATACGGCCTAAGAAGAAGAAAACTCCTCTAACGTCCCTTTCGACAGGGAAATGTAAACATTCACTTCCATCAGATAAGGGGGTAGAGGCAGTGGATGAATACGGAAACAAAACGTACTTTAGGTTTAAACGGTCTAAAAACAAAAGACCTAAACAAAGAATGGATGATTTAGCGAAACATGGAATAAGTTTGAGCTCTTTTCATGTCCCTTGCTTTCATTCTTTTATCAATTCTGAAATAATAAAGCAACAACAACGGAAAAGATTTCAGACATTCTCAATAGTGAGGCACGGTGAAACTCGGATGTAGCAAATGTTTTATATTTATTACTGTCTATCGTATTTGTTTGTCTGGGTTTATTATCATATAAGTTTGTTTTTGTGTCGACCTGTACATAAATATTGTAGTTTGGTTTGTAAAATTGTAACGTCACTAACTATAAGGGAAAAATAAATATTTATTTTGTATAATTTTTTTTTATTTCTCAACAACTTTTCTTAGTGACATGTTACACGTTGCAAATTAATTCTAAATAGCATATGAATAACTTATTAAAAGATTTGATTCAATTAGGTATCAAAAGATTGGCGACCAGGAGCGATATCAAAACGACTGTTAAGAAAACTCAATAAAGCAAAGCGATTGAAATTAGTCGTACAGGAAGTAAAACAGACTAAAAGGACTAAAAAACGGAAAGAAGAAAAGGCAACATTAATCATCAGTAAAACAGATGGAGAATATGAAATAGAAATGCAAGCAATACCAGATGGAAATGAAGAAAGCCCTGTACAATATACTCCATTGGTTTATAAGATTGCGAATGCTAATAACGAGGACAGAAAGAAGAAAAAAGAAAAAATCAAAAGAAGGATATTGAGAAGAGCAGCAAAAGATATAAAAGATTGTTACGATCCTAAAGCATGTGATAAAATGTGCTTTGACGCTTACAAGTATGCTATTGGAATATTGAAGGTAGAGGACAATTTTCCTGATCTTAAAAAAGATATGGAGAAAGGTGATGTTTTAGATAGTTGCTCTTGTTCTGATGTCGAAATGTCAAGTTGCACATCATCCGAAGTGGATTGGGAGATTCACTTTTCACCTCCCTTAAGTTGTCTTCGGTAAAATTGACGTTATTAAAACTACTAAATACTGTCAACTGTGTTTATTTTTATCAAATAAATTATTCAACATATCCCATATGACCAGCGATAGTGTTGTATGTGGTGCTATCCTTAAGTAAAGTGGTCCTAGGCCTTTGTAGAGTCCATGCAAGCCTTCTTTAGTGTAAATCTTCTTGAGGCAATCGAACACACCGTTGTAGAGCCGCTCACCTGTTGATGCCGGACCTGGAGAAAGACATTAAGTAAAACCTATTTGCATGGATTCGTTTTTTTATTGATTTGATATACAGGATAAGCGGAAATCTAAACATTGGAAATTAATTATGGCTGATCGATTTAATTTTAACAATTTGATTGCAAACATCCCAATAAGTACCAAAATTAAAACCTTTTATACTTAAAGGACACAATTATACATTTATAAAGTGAAAATATATAATAGTATAGTTCATCTGCGTTAATTGTCTTAGTAATCAATACCCTTGTTAAGAACCAAATAATGATATTGAAATGGAAGTATGTAAAATGGTTGTAAGATGTGGTTTTACTCCAAAAGCATTAGTAAATAATTGTTGTAAAAAAGAACGATTCGGCATTCAAAAAACTTAGCAAAAGAATAATGAGAAAGTTAACGTTTTTACCGATATAATAAAAAAAGTATTATACAATAGTTAAGTAACAACGATACAAAAATGATATAACAAATCCATAAGCGGAGCGTTTAACTTCGTGGACAATCGCGTTTTTTTTTCCAGAATCTTAGCCCAAGTTCAAGAGATCCTTAATAAAACACATGAAAATCTTTTCTACACCAGTTAGTAACAATTACGTTGAGATTATGTTGTTAACGTCTTAACCTAAATATTTACCTAAAGATTATCTTTAAAAAGAACAGAGATAGAAAGAACTGTGGACAATAATGTTTGTACACAGACGCCATAACTATTAAAATTTAAAGAAAAAACTCTTACAAATTTACAGAACTCCCACAATACCAAAGCAAAGCAAAGCGAGACAGTTTGGACGTTACCCTGATTGTAAAGACGTGTATTGACAACATCCAGTGGGGTTTCAACGAGCACACACAACACGCCCGACACGATGCTAGCAGCGAACGCGAGCCTCACGGGAGCATTCTCACAGTAACCCAACCCTAAGATATGCTCTTTCAGTCTGCGAACGTAAAACGTTGAACGGTAAATGTACAAATAATTTACGGGAAAAATTAAAAACTATTGGAATTTGACTGAAGTGTAAGTCTATATTTCTTTATTTGGAAAAAGCCATAGTTACCTGTATAAGGATAAAAATTGTAATAACTCACAAATGTTTTATTTTATTACAACGTGGGGCAAACCTAAACATCAATATGAATCGCGTTCGTAAATCCCACTACAGTCGATCAGTTCTGACAGTTCTAATTGAAATTTCGAACTATTCAAGGTACATTCAGTTCAATCAAACGTGGGTGATCTCAAATGACAATGATGGAACTTCACAATGGTAACAAAAGTGTTCGAAATAATTCGGGGACGTTAAAATTCGTTCACTATCAACATATTTAGTCCATATCTTCATGCAAATTCCGACACCAATGCCAATTGCTGATGCAAACAGTACGTATACAAAATGATGGTATGGCGTATGGCGTAGCTCTTCCTACCCTGGTTGTACAGACGAACAGCTGTCACGTCAAAGGGGCAAATAGCCACGGCCACCATGACGCCGCTGAGAGCACTTGCGGAAAACGCCAGCCCGAGTGACGACCGCTCGAATATATTATACGATTGCAAAACTTCTTTGGCGCTGTAGAAATAAAGTATTGTCTTCTAATAAATTGGTTAAAATCTAGGGCAGAAGTTATTTATTAAATCAGAATTCGTTAAGTCAATTTACAGCTGTGATACACGTTAAGGTACATACGTGGAAAATGTGGTGAGTTGTGCTGCACTACCGACTGCCAGCCTCGTGCAGGTCGCGTTGACACCGGCGAAGAAACCTGCCATACCCTCGCTCTTGTATATCGTGATGAAACCATCAAACATCCCTGAAATCACACGAAAAATACATTTGTTGTAAGAGTTCAGTGTTTGGATAGTGTTACCAGCAGCAACAGCTGTTTAACAACTGTGTTTACCAGCGCTTCATAGATTAAAGTCATAAATTCAAGCTATTTTCGATTGTCTTTTCTTTTTATAGATTACCGAAATCACATTTTTTTTTTGTTATCGATGGTAATTAATCTTTATTGTTTCACGCACATCTCTATAGTAATACTGGTCTTCTGTTATAATAAGTGATGTTACCCTTGTACCGGTATTGTCGTCCTACAGCGATGCTGGGGTGCGCAGCAGCTTGGATTCTGGTCTTGACAACTGAGACAGGGTTTGCAGCGAGACCACTCAGCACGCCGCTCGCGCTGGACCAGAACATGGTCTTGTTAATACTGATCTCGCCGTCCTTACACTTGGTCCAACCCTGTACTTCCGCTATGTGGTACATACCTAATCTGGAAATAAATAAATCCCGAGTTACATGAATGTATATATAAATAACAGAATACACTCAAGGTAGTAGAAGACTAACTAACTAACATGTATATTAGCTTTATTACAACTTACCTAACAGAATTCATAGTGAATCCAAGCAGCATTGCAGGCGCAAGGCCCTTCTGCAATGCGAGTATACCATCGTTCTTCCCAATAACATACAAAGCGTGCAGTATACCGCGGTACCGCGCAGTGTGCTCGTGCCTCGCCCGCAGCTCGCCCTGAAGCTGGAATCTGGTTTTCACCACGTCCATGGGGTTGGTAAAGATAGTCGCCCCAGCCCCCGCCAGCCCGCCGATCACGAAGTCCATTTTAATTTAGTTATCTCTCTGAAAATGATGCACCATTGTGAACGTATGAAGCGTTTTGTTTAAATATCTCTGTAACTAATGCTTTATTTTGTTAAAATTAAAGAATTAATATTTTTTATCCTTGAAGAGTAATTATTAGGCAGTTTGTCAGTTATCGCATTTTTATCTAAGATATAATATCTTTACACTTACGATAAAAAATTTTAAGATGCGTAACATCTCATCGCATCTACATTTAAATTGTAATTCATTTATAACATAAATATTCCCTCTTTTTAACATCAAGTACTTTATAACTTCTATGAACAGTTAAATAAATCCGCTTCTACTTCGTAATGAACATCGTATAGGAAAGTTTCATCATAAGAGATATTTATTACCTATGCTATGCAGCAAATGGTAAGGGAATTTAAATCCTCGACTGAACCTAGTAACGTTTGTTTACAAAATTAATGAATTGTATAGCAATGTAGAACATTTTATTACGATGTTAATTTACAATTGGTATTAACATATTTAAGGTAAAATGTCCAAAAGCCGCTAGAGACCCAGTAATTGATAGTTTTAAATTTGGTGTCTCATAAGATATCCGATAACTTGTACTATTTGTTCATAAAATCATTTACTGCTCAATTTACTGATTTTAAAAGATTTGTAAAAAATGTTTCTTCTAGCATTACGCATCTGTAGTTCCTCTGGTATTGCATGTAGTTGACCACCTTGGTGTTTACGCCGCTCGTTTGCCCCCTTTTTTATAAAAAAAAATAGCATTGGAAGTGAACAGGAAAATAGCGCTTTCACACCAAACTATCAATTAGTGGTCCACTTACCTTAACACATCGATTTCTTAATTTTTTTGTATTATTAAATAGTAGATATTAGAGCTAGGTGAATATATTACGATTGTTACATAAGAATAGTGAGCGTGATATACTAATCTGCAAATTGTCAAGGTAAACTTTTGTCCTAATGTCAATATCGCTGAGATACGGAAGGTATTTTACGCATTTTCATTTTGTAATTGAAATTATTATATTATTTTTCATAACGTCGGAACACACAGATAAAAATTTGAACGAGTAACATTAATCTAATGGAAAATAATACATTACTTTTATATACGTTTTTAATCGGGAATCGAACCTTGAAGATAGAACGAAGATAGATACCAAGGCTAGCCACGCAACAATCGCGAAATAACCAAAATTATTTTTTTCCATTTTCTTACCATCAAAAATGTATAACACTCACTAACACACAATAAAATTGTCTTTAAATGGTTATATTACAAAATAAATCACACTTTAACACATATAAAATAACTATTTGTTTTAATTATTTGAGATTCTAATGTGTTTAGTGCGAATAAACGACGCACTTCATCGAGTTCGGCGAATACACTACCGCTACCGGTCTGGTGACCGACTATCTGATCTGTGACGTTTGCGAATGACGACTTGTAGCTTGTTGCGTATTTCGGACGACATTATGCGAGAAGTAGTTATTTTAATTTATTTATAATCATATGGCAACAAACGTTTGGGAATAATAGAAACTGTTACTATGTTACAAAATAAAGTGCTTTGAGTTTTGTAAATGGAATTAAACTCCAAGTCAGGCGCCGTTACTCACCTGAGTAATGTTAGTAAGTAAAAAATCCTATCAAATATCCTGTTACTAGGTATGTTGTTTAAAGTACTTGAAGTTCTTTATAGTTAATTAAGTAAATACATTAACACTAATAAAACATTTTACACTTATTTACGCTTGAATGCATAAACCCACCCGTGTGTAGACAGACCACATGTTTTGGCAAGGTAACCAAAACAACCATTCAGCAATCGGAAACTCCGATATACCCAATAGCCATTGTACTTTGAACTTTGAATCATAATAGCATATTGTGTTAAAGTTTACATAACATAAGTCTAGGTCAACAAGCAGAAAATGATGTGTTGAGGTTAGGGGGGCTGCACTCTTCGAGTTTCACTCGAATTCTCCGGACTTGTTTTGATTGGATATTGAAATTTGGTAACCCTAGTACTAACTACTTCAATGTACAAAGAATGGTGAATGATGTAATATAAGAAAGAGATGAGGCTTGAAATCATTGCGTTATCTAAAAGTTTCCAAATAAGGCTTTGTGTTGTTGTCTAAGTAATATTCTTGTCCAGGCATTCTAAATGACTAACTAGTGGTAGGAAAGGGTAACTAACTTTTGCTTAGTATTTACCAACTGGTGCCTGTTTATAGGTGACTTCAACCTTTCATTCATAGTAAGGTTATGTTTCAAGGGCAAGGCGATTTAACGACAAGGAAAATAAAACAATAAAGAGATGTATAACACGCAAATACCTAGTTTACAATAGATTTATTTTGGGAAGTTTATTATCGAGTATGTATGTTTTATGGACAATGTTTCTTAACAGTGATAGAGCCCGCTTTAACATCTTCACATGAATGGGCCGGCTCGCCCGGTAAAACACCACGACCATACAGAATACAGGCGTGAAGCGGAAGCAATTCCGCGTTTCGTTTGATGTGGTCCCGGAAGCCTAATTTTAGTCCCTTTCCCTTTCCACCCTTTTCTTAAAAGAAAAAGATGGGAAGGAAAAGTGGGAAGGAAAATTTGACGGTGGAAGAGACGCATAGAAAGGGGAAATATCCTCTTTATGTGCGTCTCCTCCTCCGTCAATTAAGGGTAGACATCTGCAATTGCGGATGTCTATGGGCAGCGGTCGCTTTCCATTTCGGTGGATTTAGGTGGCCGCTTGCTCGTTTGCCACCTTATATTGTAAAAAAAATGGAAATAAGTATTTAAGTGGGTGTGGACGTTTATAATTATTAATAAGGAAATATGACGTTCATGTATTAAGCTGATAAATTATCTACAAGGCCATAAATATAATAAAATTATCACAACTTGTGTATGTACGCATCACCCTTAATAGGTAGAGGTTATGAAATTTCATCGTGCACTCTAATTTTCTGCTAGCTATTGCTCGCGGCTTCGACCATTTTTTCGGAAAACATTTTAGTCACTTGATTGTTTTAAAAATGAAAATAGAGCTAGTGCCATAGTCCTAGTTTTCGTTTCGGTTGATTCATCGCTTAATGTCAAGTTCATGGTCAAATACTGTTCGATATACTTTATTAAAAGCACGCAATAAGCCTTTTGACACAGATTATACACACAATTAATTTGCAACGGAAATATGTTTACACCAGAGCCCTTTATCTTGCATTTTCTATTTTTTTTATTACCCTACTGAACAGTAAATTATCTTTTTCTTATATTTTACTTTGGTAATACGTAAATTCTGTGATTACATACGTTATGTCATATATAAATGTAATCAATAGTTTCGACCCGTAGGTGACAAAGTTCTGCGGCCGAAGGTCATCCCGATCGATGAACCGCGTAATGACAGTCATTATTTATTCCACTACAAAGGGCTCGTACTATTATTTTAAACGACAAACAAAAGTATTATTATGAGTGTGAATAAGTGAATTTCAACTGACTGGTCCATCATACTTCATACTAATATTATAAATGCGAAAGTTTAGATGGATGTTTGTTAGAGTTTGCAGCCAAAACGGCTGAACGGATCTAGATTCAATTTGGCATAGACAAAGAGGATAGTCTGGAAGAACACATAGGATACTCAGTTTTGTTTTTTTTATTCCACTCGGACGGAGTCGCGGGCGAAAGCTAGTAAAGAATAAAAGACCATCGTTGTCGGGAATATGAGTGACAATATTTTTGAACACGTATTTGGTGATAAAAATACCCCTAACTCGGTAATTACGAAAGAATGTTTTGTATGTTTTTGTTGATACAATCGATTCTGACACATTCATCAATTTTATCTATTTTTATCAACGTGCATCGCAATTGTGGGCGTTGGTCCAATTTAAGTAATCATACATATAAATAAGTAATAAACTTATGAAGTCAAGGTGACTGTAACTTGTATTAATAACAGGTTTTTACTGTTTACTTTATATTTTATCGGGGTAGTGGTGGTTGGACAGGATAATGTAAGATTTTGTTAGTATCTCCTGCGTTAAATAAGAAAGATTTTTGCTTATTGCAGTCAGTAAGCACCAGAAACTTTACAACATTGATTTAGCTGTTATCAGTGAAACAAAGCTATTTAAAAATGTGTTAAATAAGAATTTCAACTACAGTAGTATACCGTAAATGTAATCCCGTGTATATTTATCACTTTGATATTAATAAATTTTACTGTAGTAGCAACTTATTTAGTGAAAATTGACCGATGTCGATTTTTACATGACATATTGAATGTCATAGAGGATTTTATTTCTTCAAATACTTATAATAAATGTTTCTAATAAAAAATGCAACTGGCTGAAATAAATGTTTTATTTTTTACTCGAAAATATATTGACGTTAATTTCTAATTAATTCAATGTTTCATTCAATTTTATTTGTATTTGATCAAATCTCAGTGTGCGATATTATCTTGTGTCACGTCGTCACGCGTCGATACGGTACGTGGAACGTCCAGTTGTCTAATACCACGCGCGAGGCCTGCTCGATAGTACTGTGTACTGTGTAGAGGGGTAAACACGCCGCCCAAGGTCGGGCAGGGTGCGGGCGCC